ATATTTGATGAGATCACGTGATGAGGTTCCTAACTTAGTACRACAATTCCAYYAGATGGTTCTCACACAATTTGGAGTGAGAACTAAGGTTTTTAGATCAGATAATGCCATAGAGTACTTTGAGAAGGACCTAACCACATATCTCTTAGAACATGGTGTAGTTCATCAGAGCAGTTGTGCATATACACCGCAACAGAATGGAGTTGCTGAGAGGAAAAACGGACACATTGTGGAGGTGGCAAGGAGCCTTATGGTGTTGGCTTCAGTTCCTGTGCAGTTCTGAGGAGATGCAGTTCTTACAGCCGTACATGTGATTAACCGTGTTCCTTCACGGACTTTGGGGTTTAAGGTGCCATTTAGCCTCCTTTTTTCCAAATGGAGAGATATTTCATATACCTCTGAGGGTTTTTGGCTATGTTTCTTTTGTTCACATTCTTGGCCCTCATCGCAAGAAATTGGATCCTAAGGCCAAAAAATGTGTTTTTCTTGGGTATGCTTAGAACCAAAAGGGGTATTGCTGTTATGACCCAGTGTCGAAGAGCAGATTTGTCACTATGGATGTTACCTTTTTTGAATCCACATTCTTCTTCTCGAGTGGTTCTCCTCAGGGGGAGAGTTTTGGGGAGGAGAACTCACAATCTGTTCCTCTTCCTGTTTCTGTGGTACCTCCATCAGTTCAGCCAGCATCTACATCAGTTCAGCCACCACCTGCACCATCAGTTCAGCCAGCATCGGTTCAGCCAACACCTGCACCCACAATTTCATTACCTGAGCCACTACGGGCAGCCTCACAGCAATATCAACGCCGGCAGATGATGGTTGACTCCACACATCCTCAACCCACACCACTCTCTGTTAGTCCTTCTGAAACTCCAAATTCAGCAGATACAGTTCCAAGTATTCCTCTTGAGCCTGTTATGTTTTCTAATGATAATGTTTCTGTCCCTAACACCATTGTTGCATCTGATCTCACTGACCTTGATCTTCCCTTTGCACTTCGTAAGGGGAAGAGAAAGTGTACAACCCACTACATTTCACACCATCTTTCCTACAGAGCCTTATCACCCTCCTACCATGCTTTTCTTTCTTCCCTGGATTCTGTGTCTATACCCGAGAATGTTACTAAGGCTCTCTCCAAACCTGAGTGAAAAACAACCATGCAAGATGAGATGGATGCTTTGGTCAAAAACTAAACTTGGGAAATAGTTGATCTCCCCCCAGACAAGGAGACAGTCGGATGTCAATGGGTATTCACTGTGAAGTATAAGGTCGATGGCAAGATAGAGAGGTACAAGGCAAGGTTGGTAGCAAAAGGGTATACTCAGACCTATGATGTTGATTATCTGGAAACCTTTGCACTAGTAGCTAAGATGAGTTCAACTTGTATTCTTTTATCTTTAGCATCCACCTATTCATGGCCCTTGTTCCAGCTTGATGTAAAAAATGCTTTCCTTAATGGTGACTTACAGGAGAAGGTATATATGGACATTCCAGCAAGCTTTTATGAAAATGTTGGTAAAGGAAAGGTGTGCAGACTCAAAAAATCTCTGTATGGACTGAAACAGTCACCTAGGGCTTGGTTTGATAGGTTCAGAGGGGCACTCATCCGTTTTGGATACACACAAACACAGTCTGATCACACCCTCTTTATGAAGAGAAGAGATGCTTTGGTGTCAATTCTGATTGTGTATGTGGATGATATAGTGGTGACAGAAAATGATCTGGAGGAGATTGATGATCTAAAAAAATCACTGCAGAAAGAATTTGAGATCAAAGATCTTGGTGAGCTCAAGTACTTCTTAGGGATTGAAGTTGCAAGATCCAAGAATGGGATCTTCATTTCATAGAGAAAGTATGTACTTGACCTACTGCGAGAGACCGAGAAGCTGGGGACCAAACCAGTAGACACTCCTATTGATCCAAATCACAGAATTAATGGTGTGGATGGTGAATTGGTAAAGGATGTGGGGAGATATCAAA